CTGCTGAGAAATTAAACCAAAATATGATTAATCAAAGCAGGAAAAGCCCTGCTGGGAGAGAAAGCGAGTTGAGAGGCAGAAATGTGGGCATATTGTTTATGCAGAAAGAAAGAGAAAAGAAATATATATGAAATCCTCTGTGTAGTCAGGTGAAATATTTTTATGTGTTTCATTAAGTCAACAGAATCTTCAGATTCAATGCTTTCCTTCTACACCTTTTAACTTTGGTTTTCAGTACTTACTTGTTCAAAAACACAACTTAATAGAAAGAAGTTGCTTGTCTGGTGGATTACCTTGTAGGCCACTCTGCTGTTTTGGTTCCGTGACTGCTATTAGCAGTGTGTTTGTAGGGGCAGCCCTACAAACGTGGGGGGAGTCAGCCTCCTTAGGAGCACAGGACATGAGGAAGCTGGCAGACGGCCATTGGGTTTTAAGAATCCTGCCGGGTCAGGGCTCTGTTAACTTCAGCAGCAATGTCTTCTTTTTCAGGGTGGATCAGAGAAAATAAAAAAAAATTTTTTTTAATTAGTATAGGCCTTAGGATATTTACTTGCAGCCTCCCGAGGCATTCACCTATTTCTAGTTTTCAGAGCCAGTAGGGGGGAGAATGCACATGTGAGGCACAGAAGTGTGCTCACTGTGCGCTGTTGCGTCATGCTTTATTCCTAGGACTTTGACAGCCACGTCAGTTTAATCTTTTTTCCTGTTTACAGAAAGTCACTAAGTCAGTACCTTTTGGTGGAGAGTAATGATACAGATGCTTAGTTCATCCTTGAAAACCAACTAAGATACGCTCTTAGTGCAAATTCCTTTTGTTTTATTTTGCTATGTTGCTTTCATTCTTACCACAGTGACAACAGTGGTTGGTATCCTTAGGAGATAAAGCCATTGAGGCCTCTCTTAACATAGGCATGGCTTATTGCCCGCATTTACTTTTTGGAGGAAGGGAAGTAATTTCTACTTCCTACTCAGTAACTTGCCTATTTTGGACTGTCAGCCCTGAGCTATATAGAGGATCCTAGATTGCTTATTGGATTTTACTTCTGCACTCTTGAGGGAAGAAGAGAACTGTGGACAGAAGTGACATGCTGCTTTCACATGGGAACATTTAATTGCATGTGCAACCCTCCGATACTCTCTTCCCTTGTTACTGAGATCACAAAGTAGGCCTCACTTTGCAGTTGCAGGCAGCCTAGACTTCTGAGTGGGGAGAACAGGTGTCCTGGAGAGTCACTTGGATTCACAGTGCGCTTGGTATGAGTGAGAAATAACCTTTTTTTCTGTTAAGCCACTGGAACACTGGGGCTATTTCTTACTGCAGCATATCCTAGCCTATCCTGAATTGATACAGAAGCCACTGGTTGTGGCAGTCAGGGAAAGTCTTGATCTAAATGTCATCTCAGTTAGTTCTGAGGATAAGCCTATAAGTTAGACAGGCTTTATTATCTCCATTTTTCACATAAAGATACTGAAGCTTCAGACAGCAACTTGTTCATGTTCATAACCCTGCTGAGTTACAATGCCCAGATTCACATCTGGGCTTGACCCCCTAGACAGGTGATTTAGAATCTTGCCTGGGGACTTTTAAAAACTCTATGTAACATCCACACCTCACCTGGAGTCTGATCTACCTTCCCACCTGGAGAGTCAGCACCATGATTGAGCCACGGTTGTTGATTGGAACCTGTCACGTGGAATAGAAAACAGAAGTTGAGAGCATTGCCTTTGAGGCCGAAGGTGCCATTTCTGCTGACCGTGTATGTTTCTCTGGGCAAGCCCTACTTCGCTTCTCTGTAGAGTAAAGACTTTGTTCGGGGTTCTCAGAGTCTTTGTGGTAAAGAAGCACGGTGCTCTTTATCTATACCCGCAGGACTCATTGATTCTTAGGGGAGGTGTGCATTGAAAAGTGTGTGCCTTAGGAAGGCAGGCGAAAGCAAAGGTAGAAATTTGTTATTTTGTCCTTCTAGCCATATTCCCAGAGACACGAGGTGGGGGAGTGGGCAGCAGCCATTTCTCGTGTGTGTTCTTTGCTGCCCAGAAGTAACTGCAATGGCTTTTCACTCTTCTTGCACCCATAATTGTGATGGGAGCAGGATATGGACAGATTGAGTGGGGATTCTGGGAAGAGATGGTATCTGAAATTCCTAATGGGGTTTAGGGGAAGGGGTAAATCTGTTTCCTCTTTTGTCCTCCTGAGTCAGAACCAATTGAGAAACAGACAGAAGGAGAGCAAAATAAAGGCTTTTTTTGGTTGACAGAAGCTGGACGGAGGGAGTGTCCAGGTGCACAGTTTCAGTGGGCTTTCTAGTACTCTTCATTTCCAAATTAGACAAACTTACCCACCCACCCAGTGACCCACCCAGTGACCCACCCAGCTGGACCTCCGCCAGCCTCCACAACACAGATGCACACAGACTGCCTAGCAGCCAAAAGTAACCCCTCTGTGGGCAAGCGGATTAAACAAGAGAAAGCCCAGAGTGGCAAGCCAGTCTGATCAGCTGTGGAGAGAGGTCAGGGGTGCCACTCCGGGGAAGCATGTCCTTGTATGGAAACAAGGGCCTGCGGAATGGAGTCCCTCCCGCACGCCTTTCCACGTCTGACATGCTATGACTAAGTTTTCCCTCCGTTCATCAAAAATGTACTGCTGATAAATTAGTAGCTTACATTTTGCTTAATCCTTCCCTGGCTGCGTGCTTCATGTGTGCTGTCTTTAGTCATCAAAGGGTGGCTTTGTGTTTTTATCCATTAAATCTTTGGCTCCATGCTAAGTTTGCCAACAGAGGTGCTCTGAAGTGCCAACCGCAGTGGTGTTTTTGGTTATGTTCACATCTGGTCCCCTTGGCTCCCCCTCCAATACGCCCCCGCCCCGCTGCCCTTTTCTACTTCAAACCTTCCTAAGACCGCCAGTTCAGTTCATGTAAATGTAACGTATACAGGGGCCTTATATACCACAGGCCTGCGTTTGACTGAAGTGTTCATCTGGGTCCCAGAAATTTGACCAAAGTATTGGTCACTGAACTTTTGATCACTGTTCATGTGGCCTAAATTATCGGAAGAACATTCTCTCTTCCAGCTCCAGTTCCACACATGCTCTAGCCCATTCTGGGTGAGCAAATACGTTAGTTAACAGGCACTTAGGTAAACTTTTGAAAGTTTATCAACTTTTCTTTGTGTTATGTTTAACGTCTCAAAAGGCCTTTGTTAAAGCACTGTCTTCAGTTGGGGGCCATACAGCTTAAGCACGACATGGAAACTTGGATAAAGTTCAGAGGACTCAGGAAAAATGATTGAAAGCATGGAGAGCAGGCAACCCAAAGAAGAAAAGGCGTTGAGGTTGTTCACTCTAAAGAAGGGACGACTTGGTAGGGGAAGAGGTCTTCTTTAGAGTTGTAAAGGCGATGAAAAATTCCCTTGCGGACCTTGGAGGATGAATGCTGTTTCTCTCTCTTTGAGAGTCTGGAAAAGAAGGAATAATATATATATAACATATTATACATATATATAAATCATAGGAAAAAATGCCGATTTCCAGTACACCCTTCACTATGAGAGAAGCCTTTCCATATCTTTCTGGCGTGGTTTGATTTCTCCAGCCCTTGCTCCCTCAAGGTATTTCGGCTTTCTGTCTCTTACTGCACCCATCTCAATTTGCTTTGCAATGCACTGAATGCCCTGAGAAAATGCATCCAGCTTCCAGACACTACTACATCACTGTATATATCGACATCGTTGTCAACAATTCATTGGGGGCTGGTGCTGGCATTTTGAACACTCATGATTTTTATGGTAAGCAAGCATCCAATCCGCTTGCTGAAATATGTTAATAAATTGTGTAAACTGTGTCACTGTACCTTTCAGAATCTAAAGTTTTTTCTCCCAAGAGAAAAAGCTCCTCAAAGATAGGGTTGGAGGGCTTCCCTGGTGGCGCAATGGTTGAGAGTCCGCCTGCCGATGCAGGGGACGCGGGTTCATGCCCCGGTCTGGGAAGATCCCACATGACGCGGAGCGGCTGGGCCCGTGAGCCATGGCCACTGAGCCTGCGCGTCCGGAGCCTGTGCACCGCAACGGGAGAGGCCACAGCAGTAAGAGGCCAGCGTACTGCAAAAAAAAAAAAAAAAAAAAAGATAGGGTTGGAGATTTATTCATACATGTGTACACAACAGCATCCTCTGAGGTGTCTTGAATAGAGCAAGGATGCTGGAAATATTTACTAAATTGTCAGGTTGAACCGAGGAAGGGGTTTTTGAGTAAAGGCTATGCATTCCCAAGGGAGACTTTTCCAGCCATTCCTTTTGAACCTATGACAGGGAAACATTTGTGTCAGGTGGTTCTAGTTCAGAACCTTCTTGAAACAAGAGGATGGCTGAAGGAGAACTTCCTGACAGTTTTCAATCTTGGGATTATGAGTAAAACATGGTCACTCTCACGCCTTGGAAGGACCTCTTATAAAATAATTTCAGCCTAGAAATTGTATGAGAGGGAACCAGTGATCAGGTTCCCATCATTTACTAGCCTAGCATATATTTCACCAGTTCTTCCCACTCTTGCCCACTAATGGGCAATAACTACAAAAAGGAGCAGGAAGGGCTTCCCTGGTGGCACAGTGGTTGAGAGTCCGCCTGCCAATGCAGGGGACGTGGGTTCGTGCCCCGGTCCGGGAAGATCCCACATGCCGCGGAGCAGCTAGGCCCGTGAGCCATGGCCGCTGAGCCTGTGCGTCCAGAGCCTGTGCTCCGCAACGGGAGAGGCCACAGCAGTGAGAGGCCTGCGTACCGCAAAAAAAAAAAAAAAAGAGGAGCAGAAAGTCAGAGAACCACATACCAGCTGAGCTCAGCTTCGAAAAAAATCCAGGGTCCCAGTTAATTCAAGAAGCATCATGAAGTATGTAGAGAAGGAGGGTCAGCAGTGAGGAGCTTATGATGATTCACGATGTGATGAAAAGAATAGTTCTTACTCTTTAGGAATGTTGTGTGGATTAATTGGGATAATGTACATGAAGTGTTCAGAACAGTGCTTGGCACATAGTAAAATGTTCAGTAGCAGTTGTGGTAGGAGTTATTATTGTTTATTCTTATTATAGTTAGTATTACAGATTATTAATTAACAATTGAATATTATTAATAATCTGTACTATTAATATATTTACTCTGGTTACAAGTCTGGGCACAACAAGGAAGAGGTATTTACAAATGTTTGATTTGTTGGTATTGAGAGTATATTGGAGCAGGCACATACACAGATTAATAACTGAAGGTTAGTGTGAAAGGAAGATACAGCACCTTTGAGTTAATACTGGTTCTGTGGAAGACTATTCTTGACTCTGTGCAAGTACAGTGTTGCCTCACTGCTTCAGGAACATGGCTGTTGTACGAAGAGGGGCTTCTGTGGTGGGTTGTCATGGAATCACAGAGCCAGAAGAAATCTTAGAAACCATTTTAGGTTTTCTGTTTGTTTGTTTTTAATTAAAGCATAATTAACATACAACAGAATGCATGGATCTTAAGTGTTTGGCTTGATGAGCTTTTGATGATTGTATGTACCCTAAACCAGACAGAGAATGTTCCATCACCCCCATGAGTTCCCTCACACCCCCTTCCAATCAATTCCTCCCCTCCCCCCAGCAGCCACTTTTGTGAGACCATGTTAGAGATGAGGAAAAAAGAGGCCCCAGATATTGAGTTGCTTGCCTCAGGTCACAGCTAGCCAGTCACAGACTCTGAAGCCTAGGTTTCCTGATCCCCACGTTAGGAACACACGTGTGGCTTCCCAGGTGCCATTTCCATTTGTATTGGGAGCCTTTAATGGTCTGACATAGCTTGATTATAGCTAGATTGCCTTAAAGTCCTGCATATTCTCTCAGGCTTTGATTATGAAAAATGGTGCTGATTCACACAACCGGCATGACCTTCATTACCCTGGCTAGTGCCATTCCTGTCCAGAGAGAATTTAACTCACCTTTTCTTTTGAACGAAGTGACTTTTTTGGGTATACCTTTGGCTACCCCAAACTATTCTCTAACCTTTGATTGAATTGATGCACCAGCACAGTACTTGTCATTAGGTGGACAGTTGCAGCCTTTTCAGTTAGATGTTTACCAATAGGCACCTATACTCACTCTCTGTAAGGCAAGGTTATCAATCCAGGGACTTTGGCTAGCGTTCAATGTCAATAATGATGTTCTTCCTGTCACTTTATCCTGACAGAAGTTTTTATGGGTCTCCACCCATTTCTTTTACCCTAAACTGTGGTGAAATGTCATCAGTGCTGGAAGCTGTGTTCTATGTCCCAGGCTGGTGGAGGGCAAGGCTTATCTCCATAGCTGCGTGGATCTCCTTGGGCAGTGCTGGCCTTGGATGGGTGAAAGGCACTTCAGAAACGTGGAGAGGAATTATTGTTGCAGTCTGCCCTTATTGGGATGTGCCAGCATTTTAAGGTTTTTCAGTATTCAGTATGAATCTAATAAGCACCTATGGTTAGAATTATAATTTGTAAATTTAAATTAGAGAGGCTTTCCCTTCTGTTTGAATAAAGGATGTGTTAACCGGTGGAAAAATAGAGTTTCCTTTGATGTTGGTTTCTTTGGGTAGATAAGTTCTCTTGAGGCCTCTGAGTCAGGTTCTAGGAATTCTTTTTCAGCTCCACCTTTGACAGAATAACTGGCAGTGGTCAGATGGTATGGGCTGGGCTCTGGTCTGTTTCCTTAAAAGGTTGATTCAGTTAAATTTGTATTGAAAGTGGATTGGGGGAAATACTGTATCAAAGTGCTTCTGTATTCCTTAACAGCACAACTTTTGATGGCCTTTGTAAAGAACAGCTAGGTTACTTTTCAGTAAAATGGATTGTATTCTTTTGAAAAGCTTTGTCATTTGGTTCGCATGATACATCACTGAGTCTGTATCTTTTTGTTCTGTTTTTTTTTTTTTTTTTTTTTTTTTCACGGGCCTCTCACTGTTGTGGCCTCTTCCGTTGCGGAGCACAGGCTCCGGACGCGCCGCGGGCCTCTCACTGTTGTGGCCTATCCCGCTGTGGAGCCTGTGGACGCGCAGGCTCAGCGGCCATGGCTCACGGGCCCAGCCACTCCGCGGCATGTGGGATCTTCCCGGACCGGGGCTCGAACCCGTGTCCCCTGCATCGGCAGGTGGACTCTCAACAACTGCGCCACCAGGGAAGCCCGAGTCTGTATCTTTTATTGTAGAACATTTCAGAGTGAGATCTTTAGCTTGGTTGCACTGTCCCTTCCTTTCTGAGTTGCAAATTGTCCCTGGACTGGAGAAGATTTTCCCCGTAGTGACATTTGAAAGGGCACGTTTCTGAGGGCAGGAAATTGCTTTTTATTTTGGTGGGGGGTTGTTTTGTTATTTTGAATCTTGGAGGTTCCCCCTATTTATTCTAAAAGAAGATTTTACTACTTTTACTTAGCTTAGATTGAAAATAGTCGATTCAGCACATTGATAAGTATTTTGACCTGTCATTTTTCACCACTGTGCAGAAACAGACAAGCCAAGAACCAAAATGAACTGCTTTGCTTATAAGCCCATCAGAGCCACTGTCTCCTAGAAGCTGTCTGTGTCTGTGAGAGTTCCTCATCTCCATGGCAAGGGGAATAAACCTGATTTACCAATAAAACGCATCTACTTATTTCGTGTTGTTCCCAGGTATGTTGGTGTTTGTGGTCACATGGAGTACCCCTGCCGCTTCCAGAATGCTTCTGCCACCACCCAGGAGATAATTCCTCATCGGGTCTTTGCTCCAGTGTGCCTGAAGGGTGCCTGCCGAGAGACCCTTCTGCCGCTGATCCCTCCTTGCCTCTCAGCAGCACACTCTGTCCTGGGAACACACCCGTTCTCCAGGCTGGATGTACTCATTGTTCCTGCCAACTTTCCGAGTCTGGGGATGGCCAGGTACGTTGTTCTGGTGTGGCTCTGTGGAAGTTCTTTGACTACTTCTTGCTTTCGCTGAGCTCTGTCAGAGCAATCGTTTGATTAGGTTGGAAGGGCCATCTCACTGCTGCCTTGAGGGATGGTGTGTGTATACTCCACCATGCATGAGCCTTTGGGTGTCATGGGCTCAATTCAGTTGCCTTGAGAGTAAACACTCACATCGTTGCTGGGATTGAGAACACACTGTGCCCCCAGAATGGTGTATGTTGGACTGTGGCTAATCAGGGGCTAGTTAGCTCAGGTGGTGACAGCATAATGCTAACAAGCCCAACGGTCATAGCTCTGGGCAGAGTAACACAACTTGCTTCTAGAGCACAGACTGCTCGCGTAATCCCGACCAGCTGTCTCATGCATTCTCACCACTGGTCACAAGGGCAACGACTTGAGAGCCCCTGTGTCAGAGAGACTGTGGATGAATCAGTGTAAATCTATCACGGCTGCTAGAAAAACAGCTCAAAGCAGATGGCTCACTAGGGAAGGTTAGGGGGTCACTTGTCTTGCTACTATTTTTTAATATAATAAATGTATTATTCTTATTGTCATCCCAGTTTAGTTCCTATGGAAAATCAAGACCTGAAAGTTGAACCTTTTCCTATATGTAATTTATGCCTAAAATTCATTCATTAATGCTGTTGTTCATTCAGTAATAGGTAACCACGTTTCACTCAGTGTTTTACTTGGTTACGTACTCAGGATTTTCTTGGTTATATTTCTGTTTGAAAATCTTAATCATTAACAGTGAATATGCTCGACTAAGGATGGGAAAAATAAGCTCATCAAAACATGTGACTTTAAGTTTTTCCCTATTAGTCAAGGAAATTC